ACTGCATCTGCGCGTTGACCGCCCTTAGATCATGGAGCAGCCTCCATTTGCCAGACTTTTTTTTAATTATAAAAATGGGGGTGTTTCATGGGGAGGTTGACGGCTTAATGTGTCCTAATCTAAGTTGTGTACTGACTATTTTTGACAAGGCTAATAGCTTTTCTTTAGGCAGGGGCCACTGAGGTACCCAAACCGGATCATTTGACCTCCAGGTGATTTTGATCGAAGTGGGTAGGAGAGCTTCTTCAGCGGCCCCTAAGAAAAACCCAGCCCTTGCCTACCTTTTTTGTTCTCTACTGGTATTGGGGATGTCCGACCCTGTAGGGCATTGCCCAAGCCTTTGCCGGGGGTATATCCCTGGTTTCTGAGTATATCCTTAGCCTGGGGGGAGCAGTTTGACGTAAGCGTGACATCCATCTGAGTGAGGATGTCCCTTCTCCATAGAGACACTGGCAACTGCAACACAAATGGTTGGAAATGGCCCTGATGACCCTCCTCATCGCACCAGAACAGGGTTGAAGCACTAACCTGAGGAGCTGACACCATCCCCAGGCCCTGTAGCGTGTTATCTGCAGTGTTGGTGGGCCAGTTGGAGGGCCAATCCTTTCTAGAGATAATGGAACGGTCAGCTCCTGTGTCTAGGAGCCCTGTTATATTTTTGTCATTGACCTTAAGTGAGAGCATGGGCCTTTTATCAAGTATTATATGGAGTTTCTCGAAGACTTCCCCTGAGGAACCGAAACCTTGACTTTCTCTAATTTTCTGTTTTGAGGGGAATCTCTTGTGGAGACTGGGGAGCAGCAAGAGCTGCGCTATCTTGTCTCCTTTATTGATTACCATAGTACCCACAAGAGATTGAACCATAATTTTAATGTGTCCTGTGTAGTCTGAGTCTATGACCCCCGGGACTACTATGAGACCCCGAAGGGCCATGGAGGATCTCCCGATCACCAGACCCACGGAATTTTCGGGTAACGGTCCCTTAAAGGTGGTTTCAACCACTTGAACACCCATATCAGGCACTAATATAAGTCTGGAGGCGACACTGAGGTCCACACCTGCTGACCCAGGGGTGGCCCTTGTTGAAGGCTGCCATCCTGAGCTGTCCTGTCTCTGGGGCGGGGGCCCGCCTGTGAAGGGGGCCCCCTCTGGCCGTTTTTTGGCCCTCTAGCATCTCGTCCACAAATACGGTTGCCCTGAGCATCAAAGACCGACCTACACTCCTCAGCTTTGTGTGATCCCCTCTTGCATCGCCCACAAACTTATGGTTCTTCATTCCCAGGGCGAGGCCTAGCATCTGTATTGTTTGGGCAATGACGTTTAATGTGTCCTGGCTCCCCGCAGGCAAAACACCCTTTAGCCTTACATTCCCCTTCTAACCCGCGAGGTCCCCTCTGCTGTACAGCCGCGGCCAGGAGAGCAGCCACTCCCGAGTTGGAGAGCGACCCCCCTATCTCTCTACATATCCTAATCCAGGCGTTGAGGTCCTTGTTTTTATGAGGAGCTATCGCTGCCTTGCACTCCTTTGTACATTGCTCAAAAATCAGCTGCCTTATCAGCGGTCGAGCCACTCCCGGATCAGAAAATATCTTATCGGCAGCATCTTGCATTCGGGCCACAAAGTCAACAAATGGCTCTGTGGTACCCTGAATTATTTTTGAAAGACACAAGGAGGCTGTTCCGGCACCACTTACCTGCTTTCAGGCGCGGAGCCCTATGGCGTTGATTTGTTCATAGACAGCGCCGGGGAACTGAGTCTGATCATCAGCATGCTGACCTTCTCCCATAAGCATTTCCTTGTTCCACCCCCGGTTTCCCCGACTGGCGTTTCTCTCAGCCTGCTCTGCAGAGAACTCTGCGTACCAGGCTCGCCAATCCAGGTAACTACCCGAGGGCAGACACGCCTTTGCCAGCTGAATCCAGTCCGCGGGGGTGAGGGGCCCAGAAGACAGGTTCTCCAGCATGGCAATGGTGTAAGGCGCAGTCGGCCCAAAGGTTGTAACTGCATTTTTAAGTTCTCTAATCTGCTTTATCTCAAAAGGCTCCCATGCATTACGTCCCTGGCCCATAGCTACTTGTACAGGAAATATCCCGTAGGGGCCACTATCTGTCCCAGGTGGTGGATGTACCTCATGAGACAAACGTCCCCCCTGCCAAAGCCGCCTGTAAAAATACCGACCCGCCGGCGGCGGAGCATAAGACGGCGGCCATGATTGGGCGGAAAATGGGGGCCCATGCATCACTTCCTGTTCTGGCGAAGGGGAAGGGAGCTCCCGGGCGGCCGCCTCGAGGCGAGGGATCGCCTCCGGGAACAGCCCCCAAGGTGGGGCGGAAGGCTTCGCCTCCCTCTCGCGCCGGGGAGCGCTCAGGAGCTCTCCACTCCTCCGCAGACCAAGTTGAGCGGAGCACAATTCACGGCGCAACGCTGGGAAAGAACCCTGTGACTCCTTATCGAGCGACTTAGGCTCCTGACAGCTGGTCTCTTTGGCCTCCTTGCCATTCAACTTTCCCTCGTCCTCGGAGTCAGACGACTCCGAGGCTAGAGCCCCGTCCTTTTCCTTAGCATCTTTGTTCCCCTTGACGGGCCCCTCTCGGGAGCTCCCCGACTGGGCCTGCTCAAATACCCTGCGTACTTTTGTAAGCTCTTGAGAGCTTTCTCCACAACCACCCTCGCTCTTAGTGTTGCTACCTAGCATGTTTCCCATCTTTTAATATGTTACTCACCGCGTGAGGCCCAAGGAATCCGCCACTTATGCGTGAGCCTGAGGGGAGTCTAAAAGCCCTGTAGGTGCGCGCCACCCAGAGCCCAGGCTTATCCCCAACTCACCTGTCTCGCAGCTCTGTACTGGAGCGTTGTCCGCTGTCACGTCTCGGGGGTGATCAGTCCCCGTACGGGCCACCAAATGTTGATGTCGCTCCCGGCCGGCAGGAAGGACACACGACAAAGTCTGGCAGTGGACAACCTTTTCTTTTATTTTCCTTCTCTGTACAGCCTGCCCTGGGATCGCTCCCAGCCGAAGCCTCCTTTGGTCCGCTCCCCGCGGCTCCTTTTGGGCTTCTACTTTTGGGCTTCTTCTTCTCCCCCAGGGGTGGCACCAGTATATATACGGATACAGTGTCCAATCATGTTAAAGTAAGCAAGGCAAGCTGATTGGCTAACATCATCAGTTGCCAGGCAGACTATATTGTTGAGCGGGTTGCTTACGCGGTAAGCAGGAAACTAACGTGCTCGATGGGAGGGGTAATCTACCTCAGGCTTTACTCTTTACTACAGGCCTCACGTCCGCCAAGTGAGGCGACCGGGCTCGGGGCTGCGGCTCCCAACACAGTGCCTCGCCCCGCCCCTGGTGGAGAAGTCTGCCAAGGGAGGTGGATCTATACTTTCATGCACTCACCACACGTTTAGCATCCCCCAAAACCCATATCTATTAGTGGTCAGTCTGAATTCCTTCTTCTCCTCACCTCCTAATAGTAACTGATACAGTGTCTGTCTCTGAGCAAAGTTACATACTCTGTGGACCTTTGAGATCAATGGGATCCCATAATATATGGCCTTTTGTATCTAACTCCTCTTAGAATATTTTCCAGAACCCTTCATGTTGTACCCCATAACAGTACCCCATTCTCTGGAGACCAAATAATATTGTGGCATGTATACGCCACGCTTTGTCTAATCCACTCATCAGTTAACACACATTTGGGTTGCCACGGTTTGAGTGTGCCCCCTGTAAGATGCAAGTGTTGGAAACTTGACGCCTAATACAACAGTGTTGGGAGGCAGAGCCTACAGGGAGGTGTTTAGGTCACAAGTGCTCCAGGCACGTGAATGGGTGAGACCGCTACAGAACGGTTTCAGGATCTCTCTCTGTGTGTCTCTTTTATACTCTTTCCCTTCTTTCAGGGAATGATGCAGCAAGAAGGCTCTCAGCAGATGCCAGGCAGATGTTGACTAGATGCTGGCACCATGCTCTTGGGCTTCTCAGCTTCTACAATTCTGAGCCAAAAAGTTTTCTGTTCATTATAAATTATCCAGTCTGTGGCATTCTGTTACAAAAACATAAAATGGACTAGGATAGATTGGCTTTTACTTTTTGGCTATTTATGAGTAATTTGGCTATGAACATTCATGTATATTTTTTTATGACTATGTATTTCAGCTCCCTTGAGTACATACCTAGTAGAACTGGGTCATGGTGCCTTTCTATGTTTAGCTTTCTGAGGACTTGCCAAAGTGATTTTTCAGAGGTTGCCCAGTTTTACATTTCTACACAGTGTATGATGGTTTCAACGTTTCTGCATCTTAAGAATATTAGCTATTGTCCGTCTATTTGAGTAGAGACATCATAGTTGTTGTGAAGCAGTATGTCCCTGTGGTTTTGATTTGCATTTCTCTGATGAGTAATGATGTTCAGCATCTTCTCTGGGCTTATTGGCTTGTGTGTATCTAATTTGAAGAATGTTTATTAACATTGTTTACCCATTTAAACACTGGATAATTTGTTGTTTTATTCAGTAGTAAGAGTCTATTATGCCTTCTGGACCCTTGCCTTATGAAATCTGTAATTTACAAGTATTTCTTCCTGTTGTTTTTCAGTTTTCTCAGTGTTGTTTTCGATGCATCAAATTTTTTAATTGTAATGAAGTCCAATTTATCTTTCCACGTGGGTGTCTGAGCTATCAGTGTCACTTCTGAGGAGCCATTATCGAATCCAAGCTCCTCAGATTCATCTTTCTCTCCTACTGACAGGTCAGGAGTTTTGCTCGCACTTTGTTCTTTGGTCCACTTTAAGCTGTGGTGTGAGAGGAGCTACCTCATGGGAGGGGAACGAAACTTGATCTTCTCTCTTAGCATTAGTCAAAGAGGCTGTTCTTTCCCCATGGAATAATCTTAGCACCACTTAATCCACTGACTGGGTGGCTGAGCTGGGACCTTGAACCCTGTATTGTCCTTGAAGTGTTTGGCCAACATGTTGGCCTCCCTGGGCTCTGCTCTGTTCCGTACATCTCTATATCTGATTTTAACAAGTATTCACAATTACCTTGTTTTTGAAAAATCATATTCCTTTTCCAGCATTAATTGAAGACGTAACTCACATTTTCAGTTTAAAAAAGATAAATATTTAAGTCTATGAGATTATCAGTATATATCGCGTTAGCTGCAGTACATCCACATTGGTATATTGTATTTTCATCATTTTATTTCATCGCATACTTAATTATCACTGTAAATATTTTTATACTTTTTAGATCCATGAGTTATTAAAAATATGTTTTGACCAGGAAATCCTGCCATCTGGAACAAGGTGGATGAACAAAAGAACATTATACTAAGCAAGATGAATCAGGCGCAGAGGCAAAGATCATGTGAGCTCACTTCCATGTGGAACCTAAAAGGTAGAACTTGTAGATTTAAAGAGCGAAATGGTTTTGTGTATTTTTTGATCACATCAGAGGCTGGGATAGGAGTGTGTAAGAAAGAGAGAGAGAAATGAGACAAAAGATACAAAATAATTAAGAAGAATAAGTTCTTGCATCCTATAGCACAACAAAGTGATTATAGTTAATAAAAACATATCCTATATTTCAAAAGAGCAGACACAAAAGATTTCCAATGTTTTTACCATAAATGATAAATATTTGAGGTGGTAGATATGCTAATTACTCTGATTTTATTGTTCTGCAATAGGTACATACATTAAAACATATTTACCCCATAAAAATAACAATTACCATTTGTTAATGAAAAATAAAATCTCAAAAAATTACAGAAAGTTTTAGAACACACAAAATGAAAAGCAACTGACCATAGATGTGTGTTTATATCTGTACTTTGTATTCTGCGTCATTATATACATAAAAATGGTGATTGAAAAATACAATGAATGCTTAAATCTAAAAAAAAATTATTACTTTAAAAGACATATTGCCAAGAATGACGGGAAAGGTGTATTTGAAGAAAAGGGGAGAATTCTGAGTACATCATGTGTGGGGTTAATGTCAATGTGTCTTTTACCAATGAATTTCAAAATGTTAACATTCACCATATTTTATGATCACCTGAGTCGACCAATCATTTATAGTAATTTCTGTCAAGTATAAACATAACAGTGGGTCGCATCCACTTTATTCACAGAATCTGGCAGCATGTGACCTCTGACTGTTCCTAAAGTAAAAATGGCCATGCAAGGTAACACTTTGGAATAGATGCAGGACGTTGAGGCAGCCGTGACTGCACAGCTAAAAACCCTCACGAAAGAGCACTTACAGAACTGCTCCAGAAAGTGGCAAGAGCAATTGGATAAGTGCGCTCAATGCAGGGGAGCATTGTGTGTGTGTGGCGGGGGAGGAGGGGTGCATGACAAGGTGTCTTTTACTGAATACGTTTTGAAACATTTAAACACAGCATGTTTTTTGATCTTTTCTCTTCATAGGACAGAACCACAGAATTTCCAGTTCTGGTCTCATCATTTGCAGCTTTGTAGTTTGCAACTGGAAAGCACGAAGTCTTTAACTCTGTTTTTGTTTTTCAACATTACTTTGGGTTGAGATTCCTTGCATTTCCATTTGAATGTTAGAACCAGTTGGTCCAACATCAAAAAGGAAGTTGGAATTTAGGTAGGGATTGCAATTTATGTGGACAGTAAGTTGGGGCGTGTTGTCATCTTATAAATTAGTCTTTCTATGAATAAGGGATGTTTTCTTTTTCACTTAAATCTTTTGAAATTATTTTCAACAATGTTTTGAAGCTTTCAGTAAAGTTTTGCACTTTTGATTGCTCTTCTAAATGGAATTTTAAAAATTAAATTTGAAGTTGCTCATTCTGATATATGGGATGCCAACTTGTTTTTGCATATGGATTTTGTTTCCTGTCACTTTGCTACAGTGTTTTTTCCTGTTATATTCTGACATAATGTCATATGCAAGTAGAAGTGGCTTTACTTTTCCAATGTGACTGCCTTTATTTTATTTTATTTTATTTTTTCTTGCCTGATTGCCTTGGCTACAGCCTCCAGTGCAATACTGAAGAGAAATGGTGAGACCAAACATTCTTGTTTTGTTTTCTGGGAAAAACAATTGGAAAAAATCCATTGCAAGTAAAGAGGTTGATCTAATAATCAAAATATTTCCAACAAACAAAAATCGAAGAGGAGATGTCTGCACAAGTAGATTTCACCCCACATTTGTTCTATTTCTGTAAAGTTTGTATTAATTTCCTGTCTTTCATACCTAATTTCAGTAATTGTAGTATTTTGCTCTTTCTTTACTTTAATCTGTGTAACTAGAGTTTTGTCAATTTTGTTGATCTTTTTGAAGAACGAATTTTGGTTTTATTGGTTTTTCTCTAATGTTTTTCTATCTGTGCTTTCATTTATTCCCACTTTAATCTTTATTATTTCCTTCTTTCTACTCCCTTTGACCCAATTTTGCTTTTTTCTACTTTCTAGAATATTAGGTTATATGTTTAAGATATTTTTCTTTGATTTAGATTTTTACAGTTATAAATTTCCCTCTGGCCCTGTTTTCACATGACCCCATAAATTTTGGGCTGTTGTGTTTTTGTTTTCATTCATCTCAAAATAGTTTCTAATTTGCCTTGTGATTTCTTCTTTTAGGAGTGGTTATTTAGGAGTATGTGTTTAATTTCCACATACTTGCGAACTTTCCAAATATCCTTCTGTTATTAATTTCTCATTTCATTCCATTGTTGTCACAAAATAGAGTTTGTGTGAATTCAATATTTTTAAATTTACTGAGACTTGTTTTCGGGACTTCCACAGAATCGACACCGGCGAGCTGCCTGTACCCTGCTGGTGCTGGGAAGCAGGACGTGAAGCTGTCCATGTGGCCAAGATGGTGCCTGTCGTACACTTCACTCACCATACGGCTAGTTCTCCTCAAAGTTGAAAATGGATATTGAGGTGTCTAAGTTTCTCCTCCATTAATTCTCCTTAAATTCCCCCTTCTCCCTTGGAACTCTTATCCCTCGTTCTTGCCACTTTCTGAAGCAGCTCTGGAAGTTCTCTTTCGTGAGTGTCTTCAGTTGCACAGCTGTGGCTACCTTCATGTCCTGAATCAGTTCAAAATACTTCACTTTCACGGTCATTTTGACTATGCGGAAGAGTCCAAAGTCACACAGTGCCAGACCCACTGAATGAGGTGGGTGAAGACATATGGTCGTGTTTTTATTTGACAGACATTGCCATAAATGTTTTCTGTATTTACATTCCCTGGTGTTCTCTATTCCTTCACCTGAGTTTGAGTTACAGTGTTATTTTATTGTAGTGCAAAAGATTCCCCTTAACATTTGTTGTAAGATGAGTCTGCTAACAACAAACTCATTCTTGTTTTTAAAAATTTCTCCTTTATTTTTGAAAGATTTTTTAAAAATCATACAGCATTTTATCATAACATTGATTTTTTTCTTTCAACTCTTTAAATATTTCTTCCCATTCCCTCTGGCCTCCACAGTCTCTTATAAGAAATCCATCCTTCAGGAGCTGGGGATTTAGCTCAGTGGCATAAGTGCCTGCCTGGCAAGCGCAAGGTTGTGAGTTAGATCCCCAATACCAGAAATCCATCTTTCATGAGGTTAAGGGTGTCTCTGATGTAGCAGCTGCTACTCTTTTAGTTTTCAAGCCCCTTTCTATCTTTTGACAGTTTAAGGAATATCTGTCTCTGAGTATGGGTCACTTTGAATTGATCCTGGCTGGAGTCTGTTGAGCGTCTTGGCTGTGTAGATTTTGCCTTCGTCAAATCTGACAATTTGGAGCATTACTTATTAAAACATTATTCATTCTTTTCTCCTGAGGCCCTTATCATGCAGAAGTTTGTATGCTCTATCGTAATGATTCCCAATCTTTTTGACCCCAGGCATTGAGTTTATGGAAATCAACTTTTGTCATGGATTGAGGGCAGTGGATGATAGTTTCAGGGTGATTCAAAGCAGCACTCGACCCAGATCCCTCACCCAAGCAGGTCACGGTGGGGTCTGTACTCCTGTGAGAATCGAATTTTGACAGGAGGTGGAGCTGTGTAAACACAGATGAAGCTTCACCAGCTCGCCCACCACTCACCCAGGTCCTAATAGGTCGAGGGACCCTTAGGACCCTAAACTTCTGAAACCATGAGCCAAAATAAATCATTGTCCTTTAGGTTATTTCAAGTATTTTGTTATAGCAATGAAAACGGACACGTAGCACCCTATAGATGTTCTCTGTTTGGTGAGATACTAGTCCCTGCTTTCCTTTAGTTCTATAGACATGGTTTCCTTTAGCTCTTTGAACATATTTAAGGTAGCTAGCTGACTTAAAGTTTGTCTAGAAAATCCAATGTTTGAATGTTCTCAGGGAACATGTCTATTGCTCCCTCTCTCCTACAAGGGCCATATTTTCCTGTTTTTTTTTAAGTTGCCTTATAATTTTTCATTGAAAACTAGACATTTTAAATATAACAAACAACACTAGAAACTGTATTCTCTGCTTATTCCTGCATTTTGTCATTGTTTTGCTTATTGTCAATGATTTTTCTGAATGAAGTCTATAAATTCTGGGTTCTTTGTCATGCATAGCCACTAAGACTCTGTTCCTTTAGTTTGAGTGGCCAACTATGATGGTACAGAGATGTCTTTGAGCCTTTCTGTAATTAAAAGATCTCCCAAACTGAGAGTGGTGGTGCATGCCTGTGATCCTAGCACTCTGGGAGGCTGAGGCAGGAGGATGGCAAGTTCAAGACCAACCTGGGCAACTTACTGACTTTGCAAGATTCTATCCCAAGATTAAAAATAAAAATTGACTGGAAATGTAGCCTAATGAAAAGGGCTCAACCTCCAGTATGAAAAACCACAAAAGTTTCCAATCTTTGCTGAGGGGCCCTGTGTGCACGTCAAGTGCACTCTTACCAACTGGCCCAAGAGTTACTAACTCAGCATTAGCCTTCACTTCCTACTTGTGCACAGCCTCATAGGTTAGAGTTCAGGTCTTTCCTGAGCTTGCCTTGTGTGTGTGTATTGCTTCCGGGATTTACAGGAATACGTCAGAGCTTTCAAACCCTTTTTGGAAATCTCATTCCCAGCCCTTTTTGTTGAGCTTTTTGGTAGACTGTTGCTTGCCCAAGTTGCTTTCAGGCTGGAATGTCTAAATCCCTTGCTTCCAAGTGCTTTTGATAAATGCATCACCTCTACACCTAGGCAGTAGCTGTAGCACTCAGCTGGTTCTAAACTAGACAAAATAACAATGGGAGTTCTGAGCTGGTCTTACAGGGCATCACCAGTCAGCCAACGCAGTGAATTTCACTTCTTAGTGAACAGGGTCCCTTCAGCTCCCTGCAGCACCAGGAGCCCACGTGGCTGTTTTTTTCAAAATTGCTGCTGATGTGAATGGAAGAGGACAGGACTGAGGAAGCCTAGAATAGGAAAAAGCTTGCTGTTCTAACAATGAAAATGCTTTTGAGTCATTGCAAACCTTTGGTTAACTTTGCATGTCACCGAAAAAAATTGCTTCTGACATTTTTGCTCTTTTTTTTTTAATAAAAAGCTGGAATTTTGGAGTTCTCTACTCCAACATGTTTTACCAATGTCATTCTCCAAGTAACAGAGTGTTTCTGAGAGCTTGTCGTGTATAGATCAGGGATTGATTGCTTTCTGTTGGTGAGTGGTATTGTATATGTGGATTGCCACATTTTTTCACTCATGGTTTTGTTTTGTTGTTTTTTGAGATAGAGACTCGCTATGTAGTTTAGTTCAGGTAGGCCTTGAACTCATAGATATCCTCCTGCTTCAGCCTTCCAAATGCTGGGGTTATAGACATGAATCACCAGGCCTGGTTTACTCACATTTTAATGGACGTCATGTGTTGTCCACTTTCAAACTATGATAATCAGCTTGCTATATTCATTTGTGTACAAAGTTCTGGGTAGATATATGCTTATTTCTATTGCATACCTACCCAGAAATAATAGGACTGGATCATGTGGAAACTACTTGTTTAAATCAGTAAGAAACTGTTGATTGTCTTGCAAGGTGGCTGGGTTATTTGTCTGCCCACCAACAGTATGTTAGGTTTCTAGTTGCTCCATATTATGTCAAATCCTCAGTATGGACAAGTTTAAAATTTGACTATTTTAACAGGCAGGTAGTGATAGTGCATTATGATTTTAATGTTTATTTCTCTAAAGAATAATAATATTGATCATGCTTTCATGTGCTTTTTTGCTGTTTATTCAACTTTTGCAGGTTCAAATATATAGTTCTAAGAATTAGGTTAGCAGGTAAGCAGCTGTGGTGTGGCAGGCTGTGGCAGCCCCAGGGGGAGAACCACCAGCGTCTCCTGAGATCCACACCATGTTAGAACTTAGGACGCTGGGAAACCAAGCAATCAGCCTGCCTCCCTGGTAAGCAATAGTGAGCCTACCAGTGCACGGGTGAGAGTCAAACATCCCACTTCCCCTGCCCCCTTTAGCAAATGGGAACCAGAGATCTGAGCATCTCTTGGGAGGCTGATCATATGCAATATAGCAAATAAGGGGGATTTCCTTCTACCATCTTTTTGAAAGCAAATATTTTTACTACTCTTTTGCTTTAGTCTGATTAATGGTACTGTTCTATTCAATATTCTGTTTTGATAAGTTCTACAGTGTTCTGTACCTCATTTTATTTTTCTGTATGTGATTGAAAGAACTAGTGTGATGATAACGAGATATACTGTGACTGGTACCCTGCTGTGAAGTTCTGTACCAATTTCACTGCACTGTCTCAGTTGGCTTTGTTCTGTCTTGTTCTGTTGTATTTTACTACCCTCAAAAAAAAAAAAAAAGAATTAGGTTACCGTCCTCCATATTACTGAATTGTAAAGGTCCATTGTTGTGCAGGTGTTGTGAAGGTTTTCTTCCCCATCTGTAGCTTATCTTTCCCTTTTCTAAGCAGTATCTTTTAAATATTAAAGCTCTGGGCTGGAGACGTAGCATTAGTGGCAGAGTGCTTGCCTAGTATTTGCAAGTTCAATTCTCACTTCCCCCCAAAAATGTAATTGCCAAAAATTATATCTTCCTACACTCATGGTGGCACAGACCTGTAATTCCAGCACTTGGGAGGTTGAGACAGGAAGATCACCCTGAATTCAAGGCCAACCTAGGCTACATCACGAGTTCACGGTCAGCCTGAACTACGTAGTGAGAGCCTATTTCAAAAACAAAAAGAAAGAAAGAAAGAAAATTGTAAGTTATAGTTTTATTGAGAAATAATTGAAATATAATTAACTATGCTTTTAAACTGTATAATTCTATAAGGACTGATATATGTATACATCACTATAATCAAGACACTGAGCGTATGCATTATACCCCAAAGCTTCCAGGTAATGATTCTTTATTATCGATCACCTTCCCTATTAGTAACTGGTCGACTTTAACCCACATGAATTTATTTACATTTTTTAAAAGTACTGCTGGCCAATAGAAATATGCTAAGAGTTACTTATGTGATTTTAAACTTTCAGTGGGTACATATTTAACCTATCACATATCCAGAACATTATTCCATTACATAATCACCATGAAAATTTATTTATTTATTTATTGTCTTTCTTTCTTTCTTTTTTGATACAAACTTACAACCTTGTGCTTGCCAGGCAGGTGTTTAGGCCACTGAGCTAAATCATGGACCTATTTATTGTCTTTTTGAGACACGGTCTCACTATGCAGTTCAGGCTGGCCTTGGGATCTCTTTGTAGCCCAGCCTGGCCTCACATTCATCATGATCCTCCTGTCTTGGCCTCCCGAGTACGGGGATTACAGTCATGACCCTTTAGACCCGGTTAATGTGAAAATTTATGCATGAGATTTTTTTACATTTTTTAATGTTCCTGCTCTTTGAAGTCAAGTGTATTGTTTATGATTAAAACATGCCTCAGTTTGAAAACTACAT